AAAAAAAAATGCAAATTATCAGGCTCCACCCTAGATGTTTTGAATCAGAATCTTTCAGGGTGGTGCCTAATAATCTGCTTTAAGCAAGCCCTCCAGGTGACTCTCATGCTTATAAGAGAACTGCTGCCTGAATCCAACCACTAACTTAATGGAAATACAGAAGAACATGTTAAAATATTCCACAAAAATGTAATTGTCAAAATCCAAAATGTATTTATCTCTACAGATAAACAACCTAGTTCCTTCAACAAAGAAATGGAAAGAGTATTTAAAAAAAAATTGGATGAGGGGTGAAATTTATGTTTTAAAGTTTCTTTTAATCTACAGCAAACAATTGTAAGGTTCAAGCTTTGTATTAACCCGGATCCAAAAAACCAAGTAAAATTGTGCCATTTACGAGAATTGGAAATTTGAACATCAATGAATAGTAAGCATGATAAGTGTTGGGTTTGTGTTTTAAAAAAAGAATCCGTACCCTTTAGAAATACATACTGAAATATTTGTAGAAGTTATGTGAACTCTAGGATTTGCATTAGGTACCAGGTGAAGTGGTTAGGGAAGAATCGGTCATAGGTTCATAGATATAAAGGGGTTCATCATACTATTCTGCCAACTTTGTATATGTTCAAAATTACCCTCATCAATTCATTGTGAAACAAAATTTTTTTTTACATATTTCAGCAAATTTAATCAACTTATCAAAATCCACAAATTTTAAAGTAGAAAAATAATTAACCCATGACGAGTTTGTAATTGACACTCATCCAGTTCAACCATAAACCTCAAGGAAACAGTTAAGTCAACAATGAAACCTTCATGTAAAGCTCTACTGCATTAGATACTTACTACTTCACCTTTCCATGATTTCTGGAAGTTATAAATGATTAAATTTTCTCTTTATTGGGCCGAGCCCGTGGCGCACTCGGGAGAATGCGGCGCTGGGAGCGCAGCAGCGCTCCCGCCACGGGTTCGGATCCTATATAGGGATGATCGCCGGTGCGCTCACTGGCTGAGCACGGTGCGGCCGGGCTCAAAGAGGACAAAAAAAAAAAAATTTCTCTTTATTGCCTAAATTTAAGATAGATCATATAATTACTAAGCATCTTATTATTTATCAATTCCAAACAGAAAAAGTTTTAAAGGAAAAGGCGACAATACACAAATGTGTGCACTAAGTGAGAAGTTTACCTGTAAAGACGTAATTGATCCTGTGTGTCCTTGGAGCACAGCAACTGGGGCGCAAGTTCTCAAGCACCACACTCTGATGATTTTATCACAGCTCCCTGCAGCAATCATTGTGTTTTCATAGTTTACTGCCATATCTGAAATTTCTGCAGAATGACCTCTTAATGTGGACAATAGACGTCCATGGTGTGTTGACCAAATCTTTACTAAGCAATCATCTGAACCCTAACAAAAAAATACACCCAAAAATAAATGTTAGTAAACCAAATTCTTTAAGTCATTTAAAATACCTCTTACATGCCACTCAAATTAAGTACCTATTACCCCTCCTCTCTTTCCAACGGTAGAATACTCTGTAAATTATGTCTCTTACAGTCAGAACACTTATGGAATAATATAGTATTTTCTTCAAGGTAAACAAAGTCTACATAAAGATACAGTGAAGTTATCATTTCTGTTGACCAGACCACACTAAAAATACTACTTTCCCCCAAATTTTCTGCCAAGTAATAGGTCCAACTAAAAGTTAATGACTCACCTATCTCAATTAACAATAGTTAAGTGTTAGTCTACCTCACACCAAGCTAAATAATTTGATGAGTGTTACAACAGGTCTGTTTCATAGGCTAAAAAACAAGACTAAGTGGCAATCCCAAAGACAATTAAACAAACAAAAAAAATAGTGGGAATAACACGCTCATTTTAAATAATGAAACACCAGTGTCTCAAATTTACAGTACCAGCCAGTACCCATTAATTCAAACATTTGATTATCTATTCTGAACCACACAGCTGCAAAATTATAAATTTCTCACCCATCCTAATTTTCCCTTAAAAAATTAAAATGGTAAATTAAATTCCAAATATTTTCATATAGTTTTATAATTACTTCAACACTGAAAATTATTTTATTATGAATCCATTTTCCTGAATCAGTGATTACTCAATGTGAATATGAATCACCTTGTAGAGGTTTAGGGTTTTTTTGTGGGCTTTTTTTACTTTGGGGGGTTTGTGATTAATACATGTACTTCGATTAATTACAAAGTAATTAATTACAAAGTAATTAATTACAAAGTAATTAATTCAGTAAGTCTAGAAGGGGTTAGAGGGGAAGTATTAGGTACATATATTTTTAAGCATCCTTAATGATAAGGCTTAAGAACCACTATTTTTTGGGAATTCTCCCAAAACAGCATGACTATTTGCAGCTGAATACCTTGGGGTACTTATTAAAAATACAAATTCATGGGTCCCACACCAGACCTACCTAGTCAAAATCTCTGAGGATGGAAAACATAGAATCTGCACGTTTTATAAGATATCCTAGATGATTCTGAAGCACACTAAAGTGCTCCAGATAATACAAATTCATGGGTCCCACACCAGACCTACCTAGTCAAAATCTCTGAGGATGGAAAACAGAATCTGCACGTTTTATAAGATATCCTAGATGATTCTGAAGCACACTAAAGTGCTCCAGAAGACAGCATATTGAGTTTAAAATGTTAACTCACTGTAAAGATTCTATGTCCTGTCCTATCAAATGCTACACAGTAAACAGCAGATAGATGTCCGAGAATCCTTCTGTGCATTTTTATATGCTGATACATAACTCCTGGAAATGCTGTGCTAAAAGTGGAACACCCTGTGAGTTGTTTTCCTCGATGTATCTCCACTAGGAAATAAAAACAGTGAAAAGGTTAAGGGGGAGCCAACATGTAAAAAGCTAAGAAAAACTCCAAAACAATTTCTAGAGGGTCACAAAATCTACATTTGAGAAATCTGAAGGACACAAGTTTCTTTCCAATTCTAATGTACTATAATACATATACAGACTTCTTACTACAATAAGATTGTTTTTCATTAACTTTACTTTTTAGTAATTATTTTAATACATTTGAAATTTGATACTTATTACAATGCCATCAGTATTTCCTTTTAAATTTTAATATAGCATTTGTAAAGTTTGTAATGAAATTAAAAGAATGATTTCAGATATCTCAAAGGCCAACCTCACTTACCAAGATTTGGTGGGGAACCATAATTCACCGGCATTTCAGGAGGTCTTCCTCTATGAAGAGCAGCAAAGGCAGAGCCCTTCCAAACTGTGTGCCTGCAGTCTTTAAAATGAATTTTAGATACACATAAAATCTTGAAAGTTAACCCCAAGAAAGATTTTATAGAATACTTACGTATATTGTAATAAACTGTTTATTCAAAGTTTTACCAACTAATATACTTTAACAGAAAAGCCCTGAAGGTTTATTAGACTATTTCTGAAGGAAAAAAAATTAAAACATCTCAAATACAGCAGCAACAACAACTAACATTTGTGTAGCACTTTACAATTCACAAAGTGCTTTCCACATACATTATATCTCATTGAATCCTCACAACAACCCTGTGAGGTAGGTATTTTCACCAATTTACAAGTGAGGTAACTGAGGCTCAAAGGTTCTAGGACCTTTAAAGAGATCCACTGTAAATGAATAGTAAAGATGGACCATAAAACCAGATCTTTTAACTCCAAGTCCCATTTAATGCCAAATAAGTGTTTGTTTTTCAATGCAGAATTATACCATACACTATTAAAGATAAAAGGTCTTAATCACAACTGACCCAAACTTTTTAAAAAATGGAAACTTTTATATGAAAAATTTTAATTTCTTTGATTACATAAAATTTCTTGATTTAAATAACTGAACTGTTTCATTTTAAAATTAATTTGGCCAATACTGTCATGACTTTATCCTTAGGAAGTACTGACAAATTAAAATTAAACAGCATTTCCCTTGTTTTAGGATCACAGATAATCCTTTACAGAAGAGCAAATATGTATGATCTGTGAGTTTGAATACTACTTCTAAAGCCCCATCCCTCCTTGACCTACCAGCAACTGCACTAAGGAAAAAAACGTCTGCCCTCCTCTACAGGAGACAGCAGCAGAAGAGAAGAGCTTATAAGCAGTCATACTATGCTAGAAATTAGCTTCTTCGCACCTCAAAGAGAAAGGGAGGGAAGGCAGCATACTAAACCTCTACCGAGCCTCGGGTGCCCCAAACTAACAGGCATATTGTTTTACATGAATGAATTCATTACTACTAACATGACCAAAGAGCAGTTACAAGGCATCCTCTTGTGGCACTAGTACAAAACAAACAGAGAAATATGGCCCCTACCCTAGGGCAGCTTGCTGAAGTCTCTTCTAAGGTCTGTCGGTTCTAAAGCAGTGCTCATCACAAAACAACAATGTTGAGCTTGACACAAGCAAAGAAAACAAAGGAAAACAGGCTACCCAGGTAACTACTATATAACAACCTAAAACAGAATAATTACAAAGTGAATAGTGACACAGAAGAAAGAATATCAACAGTTTCCTGATCAGAAAGCCACAGTGTGGCATGGCTATAGAGCACTAAGAAACAACTAAAGCTGACAAACCAGTCTGGTATGGAACCAAGAGGGAGGGTTATTCTTTCTCAGTCAAGCTTTATACTGGTGGTGCATCTAAGAGGCAGCATCACATCAACAACAGCTCTTAACAAAAAATAATCATGGGATGTACTTGACGTATGCTCAGGATCAAAAGAACCAACAATCTTGCCCATTAGCAGTTTTGTCACGTATATACATAGATCATATCACATACATATACTTAGTCTAAATCATTTATACCAAGCTAACAGAAAAAGAATAGCAATTCCAAACATTTTGCTAGCACATAACTTTGCAAAAAAAATTAGTAAAAAAAGAGCCATGCAATTTTACATTTTTGGTGCTTATTTTCAAACTGCTACCAAATTTAGAAAAATTATTTCCCCCTATAACAAAGGGCTTTCAGAATCTAAATATCAAATGAAATACTTCTAGCATTTAAAGAGTTTATTACACATATGCAGTTACATTCAATGAAGTAAGTGAGCTACAAAATGGAAAATTAAGAACTCATATTGATAAAACCTCAAACACATCTCAGAATAAATTCAAGCTTTTTAGCTTAACATCTGTATTTTTATCAATTTTTTTAAATGCAGAAAGACCCAATATACACTACGTAATAAAATCCAATGTTCTATGCTAAACGCAGAGAATTTTATAGTCCACAGCATGATTTATAGTTACATATCACCTTTCTTCCACAATGCTTACATTACTTCACAATTATAATAATCATTAAGCTATTAATACAAAGCAGAACACTTCTTCAAATTAAGGTACCTTTTGCTGTACGTAGCAAAGACTGCCTTCCTGCACCAAGTAAAGAAGTGACTCTTGAAATACTGGGTGGAATTTCTTTATCCAACATAGGACCGATGCGCTGGCAGATTTGCAACAGATGATCAGGAGCCACATGCTTATTGGACAAGACCTGGTTAGAGAGCAAGTTTTAATAACACTGTTTATAATAATATCAAAAAATATTAAATACTTACGGATAAAGTCTGACAAAAAATGAAAACTACAAAACATGCTGAAATTGAAGAATTAAACAAATTATAAATTATTGTATAGATTCAAACCCATTCCAATCAAAATTACACCAAAATTTATTTAGAGTTGACAATTTTATTCTAAAATTTATATGCAAATGACCTAGAAACACCAAAGCAGCTTTCAAAAATAAAGTTGTAGGGCTAACAATACCTGATTTCAATACTTGTTATAAAGCTATAATAATCAAGACAGCATGGTATTAGTATAAAGACAGACAAGGAGATCAACAGAACAAAGTGTCCAGAAGTAGATCTACACATATACAGTCAACTGATTTTTGAAAAAAGCAAGTCTATAAAGAAAAGATAGTCCTTTCAACAAACGGTGCTGAAATAATTGGATACCCATTTGCCAAAAAAAAAAAAAAAAAGACTTGATCTGTACCTTGCACCATAAACAAAAATTATCTCAAGATGGATCATGTGTAACCTAAAACCATAAAACTCCTAAAATATCAGAAAAACTCTTTACGTCCTAGGGTTAGGCAAAGATTTCTAATATGACACCAATAGCACAATCCACAAAAGAACACATTGATAAACTGGACTTCAAAACTAACAACTTGTGTACTTCAAAAGGCATGTGAAAAGAATAAAGACAAGAACAGGCTGAGAGAAGACATTTGCAATGCATTTATCTGATGTTCTTACAAGCAGAATATGTAACGAACTCTCAAGACTCAATAATAACCACCCAATTTTTTAAAATGGGCAAAAGATTTGAACAGACACTTGACTAAAGGAGATAATACAGATGGCAATAAACATGTGAAAAAATGCTCATCATTATTAATTAGTGAAATACAAATTAAAACCACAATGAGCGCCGGCCCGTGGCTCACTCGGGAGAGTGCGGTGCTGATAACACCAAGGCCCCGGGTTCGGATCCCATATAGGGATGGCGGGTTCGCTCACTGGCTGAGCGTGGTACTGACAACACCAAGTCAAGGGTTAAGATCCCCTTACCGGTCATCTTTATAAAAAAAAAAAAAAAAAAAAATCCACAATGAAACACTACTACACACCTATTAGAACGACAAATTAAAAAGACTGACCAGACCAAGACTGGAAAGAATATGAAGAAACTTGGTGGAAATGTAAAACGGTACAACCACTTTGGAAAACAGTTCGGCCATTTCTTAACAAGTTACACTTACCATATAATCTATCTAGCTATTCTATTCCTAGGTATTTATCCATGAAAAATGAAAGCACATGTCTATATAAATGTATGTGAACATTCTTAGCAGCTTTCTTTTCAACAGCCCAAAAGTGGATACAACCCAAATGTCCTTTAACAAGTGAATGAATAAACACGTTGTGATATATCTATACAATAGGATACTATTCAGCAATAAAAAGAAATGAACCATTGATAACATGCAATAACATAGATAAACCTTAAATTAATTATGCTGAAGGAAGCCAGAAAACAAGTGCATACTGTATGATTTCATCTATATTAAACTTTAGAAAAGGCAACCTAATATAAAGTCAGAGAGAGCAGATAAGAGGTTGTCTGTGGGGTGGGGATGTTGGAGGGAAAATGGGAGGAATTACAAAGGGGAAAGAGAATTCAGAGATGGACATGTTTAATATCTTCACTGTAGTGATGGGTTCACAGGTATAACATATGTCAACATTTATCAACTTGAACACTTTATGTGTATTTTATTGTATGTCAATTATATATCAATAAACAAGAAAAACACAAAAAGGGTACTGTGTAAGTTTAACTCATGAAAATTTCCAATGTTACCTAGCATACCTACAATGCATCTAGCATAAACTTTAATGCTGCATCCCTAGGGTATCTCAGTCGTTAACATTACCAGCATTTAAGGAATGACAAATATCACTCTGCAGAACTACCGCACACATCCAGGACATACAGTATCGCTGGCTCCCATCCACTAACACCAGTAGTACTCTTCATGACAGTGTGACACCAAAAATGACCCAGTTTTCAAACTCCCTGAAAAACACTGCTCCAAAGAAACTTTAAAACATAATTATAGCTCATTTTTTTGTTCTTAATAATGAATCCAAATGTAAAATAAGCCTGGATCCAATATCAAGTTAATCTGACTTCAATACTAACTGAGGACATATCCTAAGGTAGAATTTCTATGCAATCTATTAATTTCATTTTCATCCTCCCTTAGCAAAACAATGAGCCCTATTTGTGGACTATAAAAGCTTTTCCACACTACAAGTTATTCAAAAGAAAAAAATCTAACATTTCTGATAGTCTTGATAGAGTTCTCCTTTTGCTGTTTCAAGACCTATCATCAGAGCATCAAAATGGAATATAATACAGAATGCAAAATTCTCAGGGCTTTAAACACAAATCAGCTAAGAACTAAAAAGAAAATACTGATCTTGTGGGCTGGCCAGTTAGCTCACTTGGTTAGAGCACAGTGTTGTAACACCAAGGTCAAGGGTTCAGATCCCTGTAATGGATAGCCACCCCTCCCCACCACACACAGACACACAAAAAGAAAGAAATCAGTAGTCTTGAGATTTTCCTGCTGTACCAAATCAAAGTAACTGAATTTTATAATCAGAATATGATCAAAATAAAACACTAATTAAAGTCTAAATTCTATCTAGAACTTAATGAAGAGACAAATATTCCCAAAAAAGTCAAACAATTTTTTAAAAATATTGTTCCACAAAGTGTATTAAAACAAAAGAGATAGGTACACTTCAAAATGCATGGATTTTGGCTGGCCAGTTAGCTCAGGTGGTTAGAGCCTCGTGCTGATAACACTAAGGTCTAGAGTTCAATCCCTGTACCTGCTAGCAAAACAAACAAACAAACACAGATTTTAAACATGCTACAGTCTACAGAAGATATGAAATTGTAAAGGACTTTGTTAAACAACAATTTTGGCCACATGAAAATATAGTAGAAAAGACAACAAATTCCAACATTAATGCAAAACATCTCCTAAGTCAGACTTGACTTCATTATTTCATGAAGTATGTCACACTCCAAAAGACCCAAAGAACAAAAGAAATTTTAAAAAAATATTCATTTTAGCTATGTTTTTAAAACAAATTCATAAAACTCAATGCATGCATAAAACAAGAGTATACAAAAATATATTAAAAAACAAGAACAAAAAGAGCTACAATAAAATAAAAATAAAATAAAATTAAAAATAAAGAGAAAAGAAAAAAATAAAAACAAGAAAAAAAACAAGATTATAGAAAAGTCAAATAAAAGCACTCTACC